TCTCTTTATTTTTATTTTTGAAAAACAAAGAATTCATTTGTGTTTATTTTATGAATACGATGGTCGTATTTATATTTATTTTATAACAAAAAGATAAAGTAATACCTCTAGTTCAATGGAATAAAAAGCCAATAGCGTTCTATTATCGAAACTCACATCGCTTTTCCAAAGATGGTCTTGTATTGCGAACTAGCTTTTTGCTAGCATTTACCTAAAAAAATTGACGGTTTTTGAAGAATTTTCCTGATATTTACAGAGGAGCTTTTATCGATCATGTGTCAAAACATCAGAAATATTACTTGGAAAATACTTTTGCCAGAAAAAAACTGCTTTAAATCACAAAACATTGTTGTTTATTTCACACCTAGGTTTTTAGATGCTACACCTTGCAAATTTGCAGAATTACCGTAAAACAGTCAGGAAAACTCATGGCCTGCTATTACGCCCTGTGAAACTTCTCTTGCTTATAGTATTTTAATATAGGATGTCTTTCTATTCATGGGAAAATGTTTTTAAGTTAAAATCGACTATTTTCAATTAAGCCGATTCAAGTCGGGTCTTCAGATTGCAAGAAAACTTTTGATTTGGTTTTCTTAGTAAACATTTTTTTCCATGTTCATAAACTTCTTGTTCTTCTGGAGCAAAAAAGTTGTATGATATAGATACTCCTTGAGATATACAGACGGAAACAAATTTGACTAGAGTTCTAGTCAATTTTAAGCTATAGATACCATTTAATCAATTAAAAATTGTTTTTTAAAAATCAGTTCTACTCGACCAAAAGGTATTAAAAATTAGATAATTGAACTAAAATTGGATCAAAATAGTGCTAGTGTTATCGATTTTTAATCGGAAAAATCGATTAGAATTAGATTTTTCAAAAGATTTTTATCAGAACACAGGGCAAAAACTCGAAAATGTGCCCTGCCCTGCTACCAGGACAGGACAGGGCAGGGCGGCCCTGCCCTGTGACGGTCTCTGGTTTCTATCACCAGATGTGTTAAATTTGATAGCGTGATTGGTAATACTCTATGAATTGTTGTATCGATCTGGTTCAAAAACGAAAGTTTTAGACGACACAATTCAGGTGTATATGAAAGAATAATAAATAATTCTTTCAAAGTACAAGAATGATCGATAATAAGGTATTCGATAGTAGTAGATTTTTTATTAGTAGCAGTTGGAAGTGTTATTGAAATATCATCTTCATCAAGAGTGAGTTTAATCGACTTTAATTTTGGTAAGGCAAATATTAATCGATAAATTTCATTTGATTTATCTGAACTACTCCATGCATCTAATGTTAAAGAGAAAATTTGAGGCAAACAAGCTAAATTAATAAGAAGTGCAATAAGTGTATTTGTTGAAATTCCATCAACAAATATTGATTCTAGATGACTTAATGATGAGTTTATTACAAACAACGAAAAAAAATTATCATTGTCTAGTCGTAACCATAACTTGATTGATAATATTTTGTGTTTATTTAAACAAAGAAATGATTTATAATTATTCATAAATAATTCATCATGTGTTGGATTATGAAGTTCAATTTTAAACAAAAGAGAAGAAGAATTGAGAAGTTCTTGAAAACGAATATTCAGATTTGCAAAAGCTTTGTATATTGCATAACCACCGAGATAATCAAATGCTTCATAGAAAAATCCATTAGGTAAATCTTCAATACAAGATATTGATCGATTATATTCATCTATTAAAATGAAAAGACACAGAAATTTAAATTTCCTGCTCGAGTAACTAACTTCGACATTTCTTTTTTTCACCTTCAGGTGATTGACTAACAGCTAATGGTCGTTTAAAATGATCCATTTTTTGTTTTGATAATTCAAGTAATCTAAAAGAATTTTAACGTAAAAATTTTCATTTACACAAAACAAAGTAATTAAGACTCAGTTTTTATCTTTTATATATGAACATTCATTATTTTAACGGCTATAGAAACAAAGAAAAAAGAAATATCGTATTATTTGGCTTATCATTTTAAATCCATAAGATCAATAGAACGAAAGGTGGCGTATAGTTCTATAGTACAGATATAAGTCTCGATGGCAGCTTTTGATTGAGTGTGAACGTAAGCGCGGTGCGTGTTAGCGTATTTATGTAGATATGACTGTATCTCTTTCTCTCTCTTGCTATACGTCATCATCCGGATCGACAATCTCAGATTTATCTCTTGGTCTTTGCTCTTGAAATCACATATATATTACTAAGTAAATAATGATCTACTAATTATATATTTACTAGGCCATCGATTAGAAATTAATTATTTATTAATTAGACTTAAATCAGTTATTCCATAGAGTTTAATTAGTTATTTAAGCAAAATGTCTATTACAGTTTCCGAGAAAACTGACTACAAATTTTTACTCTATACTTCAGTCAGAGATGGCATTAGCTAGTTTCGTAGCTATTTTAAATCGACCTTGATTTCGATTGCGGTCTTAAAGCTTCTATGTTCGAATGTATCTAATTCGATATTAAATTCATAGATTTTAGAATAATATATCGGCGTTTAATTATATACAAGTGAGTGAAACATTTTATCAGTAGAAGTGAAGTTGTAAGCATATTTTGTCTGATCTTTCTTCGGCTAAGGCAAAGTAGAGGTAAACAAGCATATAGTGTCTTTTATAAGTAAAAACCGGTTAGAACGTGATTACTTGGACCACAGCCAATGTTTACGAAAATTTATCTATTCTTTAAACGAACGAAAGCAAACTAGATAATAGCTAGCAAAATGCGAGTTTCTACGTCGATAATAACTCTTGTCGCATAATAGAAGATTTCAGGATACAATTCTATGTCCGAATAGATAATTATTTCAGATGGACCTTTAATAAGGTTTCTCTCCTTATTAAGCACTGATAATTAAAAACTTATTGCAAAAAAAATCATGTCTACTAAGTGGATACGAATAGAATTTTCCGAATAGAAACTATCTACATATATGTTGTATTGAAGTTACAACTTTGTCGTATAACTGTGACGAAGTTGTAACTTCGACAATAAAATATGTCAAAGTTAGTTTTATTTCATTTATCAATAAATAGTTTACTAAAATCGAATATCGTATTGCTGAATATATAAAAAAATTTTCTTGCCAATAAATACCATGTATTCAACTATGGAAATTGTTCATAAGTTGCGAGAAGAAAATTGAAGATAAATAAATCAATATAAAAAATGTGTAACAGGAAATAATCGAAATGTAGCTGTTTTTTTTTTCATTTATTTTACTGTGCCATGTTGTACCTGGTTCACAGATATGAAAATATAGCTAGAAAAAAAAAGAGACTAGTACAATGACATGTATAACGAATAATTATATAGTACCAACAGTATGGATGGAAAACAACACAAAAAATTGAAATAAAAATGAAAATAAAAATAAGACAGAACAGAGAGAGAAAAATACCACTGTATATCACATAAACCTATAATAGTACATTTTGACAAGAACAACACGACAAATAATAGTATATATTCAAGCATATGTGGTTCTAGACTGAGTATAAGATGTACAGTGATCGCTCTGACTTATGATTTATATGTCCTGTTTGACATCGGAGGCTACTGCAAAAAGTACTTGTAAACATAATCGTCTATATATTCATTTTTATTCTTGAAATATTCATATGGTGTTTTATGAACTTCTTCGAACGTTAGCCACTCAATCAAACAGTGTGTTGCCTGTTTGATAAGTCCACGAGGAAATACACTATTACGTCTGAAATTTAATGTCTTCCTCCAACTGTTCAGTGTGGTAATAATTAGATAAGCATTCCAAGATTGTTGGAAAGCAAGACCTTCATCCGAGTTCAGAAGATGGTGGACAAAGCGTCACCAGTATTTATATAGATAATCATAAAGAGTTTCTTCGCGAGCTAATACTAATGTAGTAAAATCATCCCATTGACAAAGATCATTTAAGATCCTAAGACCCGAGCAATAGGTATGCTCAATAAGATCACGCTGATTATTAATCGAAATGTAGCTGGTATTTACTGAAATATTGAAAATATTTGATCATTGATAATTCTCTTTTGTACTTATGTTCATGTACAACTGAATGATATATTATTTCAGCCAATGCATATGCTCATCAATTAATATTCAGAATAAATTTATCTGTTACGGTATAATATTCTTATTGAGACTTTCAAGCTGTACAGTTTAAGCCTTAATTCATTTTTTTGGATAAATCGTTCTATTCCTAGTGTATGTTTTAGACTTAATGTCATACGAAATATGTACACTTTTATATGAAAAACTTTTCAGTGGGTTGATTGTATTTATTAATTAAAGAGTGAATACTCTACTCCCATAAGAACTTTTTTTTCATCTTTATTCATGTGTAATCTTTCACATTAAACTATTTTTTCAAACGCTAGAATCGTATCTATCTCCATATTTATTGGAAATAAATCTAAATAAAAATCAAGAAACATTAACGTGATAATTATTTTTTTTCTCGTAATATATGAATAATTTCTATTGTTGAATAAGGAATATTTATTGGCAAAAAAATCTTATCATATACTCAGCAATACGATATTCTATTTTAGTAAATTATTTATTGATATTGATAAATGAAATAAAACTAACTTCGACAAATTTTATTGTCGAAGTTGCAACTTTGATATGACATATATGTAATGTCCAGTGTGTGTCAGTGTGCCTGTGCGAAGTCAAAGGTCAAAAAGGCTATAGGGACTGCTATATTGGGACACCCATAGGTCCCTATAAGAACTATTATATAATGGTATCCATGGTCGTCAAGGGCTGTTATATGAAGGTACTCATAGGTCCTCAAGAACTATGATATTGGAGTATCTATAAGTTCTGAAGTAAGTAAGGCAATATCTATATATATAATATTCAGTGTGTGTCTCTGTGTCAGGTCAAAGATGAAAGGTCAAAGATGAAATAAGGCGGTAATGGATGAAGTTACAAGAGGATATGACTATAAGAGAATAAAACAGCAACGAAGTAGGACTATAAGGAGAGACGCTATAAAAAGAGGTGAGGTAATAAGGAAGTTAGGCAGTAAGAACGTAAGAACAGAAAGGGGTGAGGCTATAAGGAAGAAGATAACAAGGGAAAATGTTATAAGGGCCAGAGCTACTTAGGACATACCAAAAGTAGTGGCGCCAATATCTCAATTTCTTATAGACCGCATGAGAAAATTTTCTTTTTTTTATGAACAGATAGAGCGTCTTTCGTTCTATTTTTCTATGCTATTTGATCACTATTCAATTGCTATCATAACAATAAAATTTCGATAAGAACTATTTTTGTGTACAACTTCACTAATATGTGAGGCAGATTATATGGTCACACTGTGCATTTTTTGGATTTCAATTTTCAATTACTTAATAGATTTTATTAAAAAAGAAGATATGCCACTAGATGCAGCGTGAAAAGCTCTACAATTTTTCAAGAACAGCTTATTTTATATTTCAGATAAAGAACAAGAAATTTCTCTTCATATAGAAAAAGATGATTTTTTTCGGGATAGTTGGAGACAATTTTACTTTTTTTGGAAACAAGAAGTACGCTATTAAAATAAGAGATCTTATACAAATTGTAGCCCTTCTCATGCTGCATCTTTTGATGTATTTTGTTTTTTTTTAATAAAAGATACCAGATGATACAACGATGAAATAAGAAAAAATCAATTGATCTTGTAGCAGAAAATATATCGTTTTTGCCAGGTCAAAAATTGATCGCTCAAAATCTTGCTCATTATAATAACAAAAGGTACAACTATAAAATAAGCGATCTTATGTAAATTGTAGAGCTTTTCACGCTGCATCTAGTGGTATATTTTATTTTTCTGATACAGCCTATTAAGTGATTGAAAATTGGAATGCAAAGTGTAGCCATACAGAAAAATAGTTATCAAAATTTTATTATTATGATAGCAATTGAATAGTGATCAAATAGCATAGAACAATAGAGCGAAAGACGCTCTATCTGTTCATAAAAAAAGAAAATTTTTTCATGCGATCTATAAGAAATTGAGATATTGGCACCACTACTTTTGGTATGCCCTAAGTATAAAGGAGTAAGACTAAAATAGAGAGAACGTTATTAGGGTACACGGCTTTCAAGGAGTAAAGTAATAAGGAGCTAAGACCTTGAAGAGGTACGGCTATGAGAGGAAGTCACAATAAGAGACTAAGGCTACAAAAAAGTAAGACAATAATGGGCTAAGAGTATAATGAAGAACGTTATAGAAGGCGAATGCTATAAGGAGCTAAGGGGATAAGTAACTAAGGCAATAAGGTGATAATATTGTAAAGAAGGAAGGGAATAAGAGAGTAGGTGGTAGAATAACTACAAGAAACCTAAGGCTATAAGGCTGTAAGGGCATATGAACTATTAGCGGTATGACAATATCATGTTGTAACGCCTCCATGTGCATAATATCTAGTGCCTATGTGTC